GGCCTTCGTGCCCGCTGCTCCGCTAGCGTGCGTGGGCTCTTTTCCTTTCCCTTCGGTTCCTACCGCCTGTCGCTCTACCGCATTGCGTGCGGTACCCCAGCACACCGGCTGATGTCTGTTTCTTTCAGGTAACGTTTCGGACAAGAATCTACCACTGTAATATTAACAGCCAAGGTGTCATCTGCCTGGACATTTTAAAAGACAACTGGAGTCCAGCATTAACCATTTCTAAAGTTCTCCTCTCCATCTGCTCCCTCCTCACAGACTGCAACCCCGGTAAGTCCGCTGTGCAGCCACAGAGGCCTCCTGCCGCCTTGCACCCCGCCCGGCACCCAAATAACATGGCCCTCATCTCATCCTGTTGGCTTTGGCCAGCACGGCTTTGGCCTGCAGCACAGCACGTTTCCCTCTCCAGGGCAGCTGGAGAGGTGCTGGAGGTGGTGGAGGTGATACACCCTACCTACCTGCTGTTCACCGCTCCTCAGGCTGACCCAGGAGGAAAGCGGTGTCCTCCTGCACAGGAAAACTCCTTCCCCTTCCAAACCAGCTGTGGTTTTGGGTAAGGGTTAAATACTCTTCGCTGATCTTTAGGACTGTAGTAGTTCGGTAAGGGAGCTAGAAGAGCCACAAATGTTCTGAGAACAAGGGGATTAGCCCTTTACTTTCCATCATCCATTTAAAAACAATGACCAACTATGCCACAAGTAGTCCTCGCTGCTTCTCTAACCCACTTATTATCCACACCAGTTAAGAGGAATATGCCTTGGTTTCAAAGTCAATTTTACAGGTTGTATTCTAGACATGTCTAAAGATGAGAGAAACACCAGTTTTCACACTATATTATCTATAATAAAAATAAACTTGGTGGAAAAATAAAACCTCTCCTCGAGATCTGATCTTTCCTAGTAGGCAGATCTATATTGTTATAAGTGTACTTAGCAATGAGTATGTCCCAGACACTTTCAGAAGGGATAAAATAAACCTAAAACGTGTGAATTGGTGAAAGTCCTCAGTAATGCAAAAGATAATTATTGGATTTCGTCTTTTTAAACTCCTCAAAACATTAATTGGCATTTCACTCTTTATTAAGTAATAGATTAATACATTACCATAAATACACACAAATCAGTGAAGACACAGGTCATCAATTCCATATATTTAGATTGTTGCGTGTACCTTAGCTGTGTGATTCCCTTGTATTAAATTCACACTTCAGCTTTAAGTTTTTATTTGGTAACTTGTCTGAAATAAGTGGGGTTTTTTCTTTTCTTTTCAGCTGACCCCCTGGTTGGAAGTATTGCCACTCAGTATATGACTAACAGAGCAGAGCATGACAGAATGGCCAGACAGTGGACCAAAAGATACGCTACATAAATTGAATTTTCGTCAAACTCTTACATTATTTGTCTGTGATGGAAAGAGCTGCTTATGATTTTGAAGGGTGGGGGGAGGGAGGGTGCTGGTAAAGAGTAGGGTATTTCTATAACAGATTTTATTCAGTCTTTTATTTCCTAAGATTTTGTTGTTGTAACTTAAGGTATCTTGCTACAGTAGACAGCTAGGATTGGGAATAGCATATTTTAAGACTGTAATTAGTTCAGCAATATTAGCTCACATATAGTACCGAGAAGAATGTAAACTTCTTAGACTTCTTTGGTTTTTGGTTTGCTTGCAATATGTAAAAGATTAAAACAGCTTAATTTTGTACAGGTACATATGTTGACATTTATGTAAAAGTCCTTTCAAGACTCTACACACTGTTTTTGCTTTTTGTTTTGTTTTGGATTCAGGGGGTTTATTTTGTTCTGTGTTGGGGTTTTTTTGTTTGGTTGGTTGGGTTGGTTTGGTTTGTTTTTTTTTTTTGTAAAAAGATGTTGGGATTGTTTTCCCCTATGGAGGGCACATCGGTATTTAACAAATCCTTTTTAAAGACTGTCATCTCATGATCTGTGATGCGGAGAGGTGGATATATGGCCTCATATATGAAATGAGAAGTAGTTAATGTATTATTTTATAAGCCAATCTATCTTTGTGAGAAGAATAAAGGGTTTAATCAGGACTTACGGTAACCTGTAGTGAAATACCTTAAGCTGTTTAACTGTAAGGCGTGGAATAGGAGTCACTCAGTGGATTGGTTGTATGTTGTGGGCTACCTAAGTCTGCATTTGTTACTGTGCTAATAAAAAGATGTTTAAAAAAAAAAAAAAAGAAGAAGAAAAGATTTCTGCTTAGTGCCTTGCTGTGTCCTTTTGCCAGAACGGTGTCTCCCAGTAGGCTTTGAGGATTACCGTATGGAGAAGGACAAGGGACATCTGCAGGTGAGTGCGCCGACTGCTGCTATTTTGGGAAGACACTTCTAGACAAGCCTACAATGAATGACAGCAGAAGACTTTTTCAGCTGTTTACTGTGTAAGTGTTGTGCAGGCTGGCATGGCCCATGAGGAGGTCACCTGCCACAGAGTCCATGCTGGTTACTTTTTAGCTAAAGTTTTCACAGCATTGGCTTTTCAGGACTGGCATATTGAAGTACACCAGGAAAAGTTTAAGGGATCTGGAAGGGAAACAGGCAGGAGGTAAAAGGAAGAAGATAATATCTTTGTGGATTTCTGATGGAGTGGTCTATTCCCGCTTGAAAGAGGAGAAGGAATCATGTCCTGGTAAGCTAGCAGAAGACACATTAAAGGAGAGTAAAGGAGACTTAATCTGTAGATCCTTTAACTACCTACAAAGATTATCTCCTAGAGACATGGTGTTTACATTGGGGAGTGTAGCAACAGGGCAGTTAGTTGTGGATATGGCATTTTTGACCGCTCCCTTAAGGTAAAGGCCGGAAGTACAGATTCATTTTCACACGGCAAGGACTTCACCTGGCCACATTCTTCTGAGTGCTATGTGGTCATCTGCACTCTCAGATTTGTTTTGGTACTTTAAAATAAATTCTGTATACATTTTATTTATATACTTCTCTTCCTGTCTATATATAGATCGAATCTAACTTGGTCCAAAGTAATCTGTTAATTAGAGATACCCTTCCTTTGCAGGGTGGTTGTGGGTACTAGTACGTTAGCCTCATCTGCTGAACTGCCTTCTTTTGACACAACCTATGTTTTGGTGTATGAGCTCCCTCAGCTGTTTGGCTCAGCCGAGGAAGATCGTTGGTATATAGCTACATCACACCAGGAGCACCTCTGGTAATCGTTTCCTCCTCTCCTTTGCTGAGCGAGGCGGTAAATGGCTTAATCTCAGTAGGTTTTTGTTGTCTCCTTGCTTCATACTAACGGTTGTAGCTCACAGGGGCGAGGGAGCTGATTTGGGGTGGCTGATCTGCACAGCGTTTATTCAGCAGCATAGAAGTTTAAGAAGAACAGAGAAAGATGATTCAATTTACTAATTTAGTTTTCTTTTTTATAATAATTTTTCTCTGTTATGTTGTGAAGGGACTCTCTAGCTTTGTAGTAGGTAAGTGATCCCAGTAACCTAAGACAGGTTTTGAGTCAGTGGAATAGTAAGAACAAAATACATGTTCTGCCCTTTAGCTACTACATTATATTCTACTTTACTTACTAACCCTGTGTAAAACTGTACTACAGTGAGTTTCATTTTCAGTCAGTACCAGCCACTGCATGTAGGTTGTTTGCAGAGGAGACACTGCATTTTCCATCACTTGTCAATAAAATACTACGATATTTAGAAAAGACAATGGATTTGAGTGCTTAAAAAGCATCAGGATAGCTTGTGAAAGGAAACAGTGGGTGGTGGTTGTTTATATGAATGCCCCAAATGATCTAAACTTGTTTCTAATGAATTTAATGAATTTAAAGAAAACATCTTTGCCTTTATGTAACCTGTTTGGAAAAATGGCCTTAGTCATTCAGAAGATCCCTTTTCCTCTTGCCTTTCTTAAAACATTGTCAAGTCCTGAGTGTCCAGGGGAGCGAGTGAGCAAGCTGATCTCGCATGACACAGCTCTGGCAGCCTGCTGCTGACATCAGTGTTGGCAATGGAATTGGCATCGAGTCTGCAGGGTGCAGAACTGGACAGGAAACAGTCTTCTCCGTTCCTTCCATCTCCACACATTTTAAGTTCACTCTGACTTGCCAACCTGCACTCCCTTGGCTCAGGGGTCAGTTTCAGTGACGGTATGCGGTTAGCAGAGGTCTTTGCTTATCAAGTAAAGCTGAATCAAGTCCCTTCTAGAAGGGTTCTGCACAGCTGAAGAGGAGGAACATAACCAATTCCTTGGTGAGAGGTTGCAGCAAGGAGGTGAACCACTGCTGCCCTGCAGTCACCCCCACTTCCCAGGCACGCAGGCAGATGCAGAGTCTTCTGGGAAGGGAGAAGCCTTGAGTACACGTGTGTTGGGTAGGAAATGAGTGAGGAGGGAGTGTTCTGCAGCATCACTGGGGACAATGACTATTACTATCCAGGTTGGGGGAGGTCGTGCTATGGTGCTTAGTCAGCTGCAGTGTTGCAATGGAAACAATTGTATGTTTCCAGCAGGGCATTACAAGAGCTTGCTCATTCATAATTGCTCTCTTATCTTACTCCTTGGCCACAGCAATCCAAACTATATTGAGCAAAGCACATAAACAGTTTCGTCTGCCTTCATTATAAAGGTAGGAATACCTGCTTAATTTTTAGTGGATTGTACTGCCGCTCTGACATTAGTAATGCTGACGGAGTTTATTTGTCAGTATTCAGGAAGAGTAATGCTATAAGCACACAGCTTAATTGTGATCATTAAGCACACTTACTATTTAGCAGTTACGATATGACAATGCAAATATTGCTCATGGTTTTGCTGACTCACAGTGACATTCTCAATATTTGTTCAAAACAACATTAATTTAGTGGAAAATGAGGGAACTGGTACTTCACTCCCTCTCCCCACTCTTGTCTTCAAATACAAAGAAAAGCTAGTTTCAATTAGTATAAGAGGTTGTTAGAGGCCAAAAGCTGACCTCTCTCTCTGGGAATGGTTGTTAATTCTGTGCCTCTACACCCAATTTTGTTTGGTTTACTGACAGGCTGACCCAGGACAGCAGATTCCTGCAGCACAGGTTTACCAGTGTGGAGAGTCAAATACAGCACGTACAGTTGTGCTCCTGCTGCTGGACAGTGTGTGGCACATTAAGACCAAGGCCATTTGTCCAGGTATTTCCGGGTGTTAGCCATGGGAATGTTCCCAAAAGACAGCCTCCTACTCTCCCTAGCCCCCTCTCACAAAGTAGCACAGCACTCCATACCGCTTGTTATCTGGTCTCTAGCTTCGTACTGGGGGTGGATTACTGCAGTTCAGCTGAAAGGCTGGGTGGGAGTATTATGCAATGCACTAAGCAGAGCCCAGGCAGTACCTCCTGCACACAAAATTGCTCTGTATAACTCCTCAGTAAAATTATCACCTATGTGAATGTGACTGATTTGTACTGGACATGCTGGAACAAAACCATGTACAGCTATGTTGTCCTTCAGGTCGCAGTTAAATTAATGAGTGCTCTGAGAGCTTTTCTGGTTTGTACAAATAAATGCCTAAGCTGAAAGCACTACTTGTCAGACTTTGCTGACAAGCTTCATGTCGGGGTAGATGTGTTCTAGTATCTCCCACAAGATCTGGGGGGTTTTCTCTCTTTTTTTTTTTTTTTTTCTTCCAGGCACTAGCAGAACTTCAGCAGCTAAATCCTGCTAGTAGTTGTTCCTCCTGTCCCAAACCCTTCTTCTGCAACAACACACTGACCTCAGTCTCCTGCAGCATCAAAAAGCCCTGTGGCCCTGTTTAAGGTCAAGGTAAAAGGAGTGTTGCCATTTCAAACATATCCTCTCTCCAAACTGGATGCTTTATTGCAGCTAGTGCTATTTGTGACTAGAGGCTATAGATCTGCAGGGGGATTGCTTAAGGATAAGCATGTTGATTTGTCCCTCAACATGGCTGTACCCAGGCATAGCCAAAGTCCCTGCTAGAGAGGCAGCCACCTGTCCCTCCCTCCTCCTTAACCCTCGTTGCAAGATAGCGCCTGTCATGAAGTGCTTTTCAAGGCTTTTACCACCAGTGACTTTTTCAAGTCGAGTCCATGAGAAGGAAGGATACCTCTTAGCCATAAGCTTGCTGATTTTATTGCTGAATGAGATTATTGCTTTAAGTGAAACTGCAAGAAGCAAATGGCATAGAAGGACTTAGGCTGTGGCATGGCAGCAGCAGACAATGCTACAGTAGCTTAGTTATCACAGTTATTCCCTTTGTTCTTCCTTCCAGGCAGGGGAAATGTTGATTTGTTCTGGGACTGGGAGAGTTTGCTAGCTAAGAAGGTGAAGGGCTCAAGCAGTGTTTTCCGATCTGTCACAGTCACTTCCCACAGTCTCACTTTCTCGACCCTTGCCCATTGCTGTGCTGCTTCTGTCTCCACTTGCCTTTGGTCCAGGAGGTCAGTTTTGTTTCCCAAGACAATAACTGTTACCTACAAACAAAATGAAAGGGTGAGCTTTATACAAAAAGCATTGACTACTCACAATGCTTTTAAACAGCAGGCAAGTAGCAATACAGTTCAAACCTGTTCTTTGACTTGGCACTGGCACAACGTAAGCTGCATGTAGTTGGGAAGATCAGGGTCTGGGATTTGAATTAGCCTCGTCTACCTGTGGGCTGGGAGCTGGTTTTAACCATAGGATATGCAGGACTTCCCCTTCTCTCCCCAGCTGCTTAAAGGGAAACAATATCTGAGAGAGCCAAAGTTACACAGCCCTGTTCTCCATTTACTTGGCAATTGAGCTGCCCTAGCCAAATGATAAGAGCATGACATCCGAGTAGGTCGGAGCAGCAGATGCTTGAGATGGAAAAACACACAGCAGCAGAGAAAGCCTGGACCCCACAGCTGTGGATTTTGCCCAGCTTGTTTTTTCCCAAGCCCCAGCCCACAGTATAACTAAAGCCAACCCTGCCACAGGGCCTCCTGGGCGGCCTGAGCTGTTGCGCCCCGCTCCCGCAGGCACGGTGAGCCACTGGAGGGACCTGAGGGGACAGCCTGCTGCCGCTGAAAGGGCCAGGTAAGCACCAGCACCGTCCTCTCGGAAGCAGTTTCAAGAGCAGCCAGTTGGCTACCTAGAGCAGCACAGAAGTCTCAAGGCAGACCCTTAGTTGTAAGGATCCATCAAGCGACTTCTGTATCACCGAGACAGCACAGTGTGGCTGAGCTCAGTGGCCTGCCCGGTGCTTCAGTTCTAGGAAGTGCTGGCCACTTAAAGGTACTGCTGCTGCTTATTTTAAGTTAACCATTTTCTAAAAATGTTTTACCAGCATCAGCTCTTAGGGGAAACCATGCCTGTATTTATAGTTCAAGGTCCTTACTCAAACTCTGGTCTCATCTCTACTCTAGTGGTTTGACAAAGATCAAGTGATAAAGTCCTCTTCTTGCTGATGATTTGGGGGTTTTGCTGTGGCCACACCTGCTTGCTCTTTCCTGTTCATCAGTCTAACTCCAGGACATCTTCTGTTTCTTTCCAGATAGAGATGTTTGTCTTGTTCCTGTGAGGTCTGTGGCTTCCTTTCTTTTCTATGGCAGCCCAGGGTGTTTGGAAAAATGTTTTTTCCCTCTGCAAAGGCTGTGAAAGAAGCTATAATCTTCATATGCATATACCACATGCTCCAACTGAATTTTACCTATGGTTAAGCTCTGTCAGTATGAGAGAACACAACCTCTATTTAGTATAAAATTTGGCCAGGCTTTAAGGTGCGTGCTGGAGAGCACCCACAGCCAGCAGAAGCAGAGAACAAGCCATCAGTGCTTTCTGTCATCTGCCACACAACAGGGGACTGTGCCGCTCAACAAGGTGAAATTCTGCCAGCTCAGAAGTGCCATGCATGGAGGTACATCCCTAATTCGGTTAAGGATGCATTCTAGCAGAGCCCAAACTTTAAGTCCCCTGATGCTATCTTAAGGTAGGGCTTCTGATCTCACCTTCTAGCTTCAAAGCCTATTTTGTATGGACCAGAAATCACAGGAATGAAACTAATTTATCCATCTTATTGTGGGCACCACTCTTTTAACTATGTTATCCTCATTCAACTATGTTATCCTCATTCAAGACCACAACTTTAAGCTCTCCCAGAGTTGGCTGTTTTCTAAAATACCTGCGTGCAACAAGAGAGAAGAGTTCTGGCAGGTTAACGCAGAAGAGAGGGACGCAGATCCTGCTGCAGCTGTGACTCCCTCTCTGTATTACAACATGCTGTAAAGTAACAAATCGGGCCCCTCACAAAACACAGCGCCTGGGAAAAATTTCCTGCTTGTCCACCTTTCCTTGCCCTGCAGGGGAGTTATGATTGACTCCCATATCCCTGATATACGTGCCAGTCTGCAGCTCACACCAGCCCTACCAGCTTAACATACCTCTCCTGTGACTGCACGTTCAGCTGCTGTCAAACTTGGAGCCTGCCTTCCTCCACCACCCTATGTGCTGTCAGTACTAAACAAGTTACATTTTTGGAAAGTCTCTCCCTACCATTATCCAATTAATTCTTCATGCACTTTTTTTTTTTTTTTTTTTTAAGACAGCATAAAACAGACATTTGGAAAGCTGTAGGCTAAAGGCATTTAACAGGGAAAACTACTCGAGAATATAAAGATACTGTAGGAAAAGCCATAATGCTAATGCCACATGCAAGTTATATTTGTTTAGCTAAGCTGGAACACTGTCAGCTGAAAACACTAGCTGCTTTCTAAGGGAAAATAGAGCAGTCATTTCACACAATTGAATTGATTCAATATGGTTGTTAAAATACATTAAAGCTGCTTTGCCAATTGACTAATGTCTGGGAGACCCATTGTCAATTACGCTAGTTTGTAAGCCATCAAGTACATGAATGCAAAACAAACAAAGATAATGCCCTTCGTTATATTATTCTATGCACTTGACTTCCCGTGTACAATATCTAAAAAAACATATGAACTGCACTGCTGTAGACCATATGTTTTATTAGTCATAAGTGTCCTGGCTGGTGCATTCAGCTAACTGAATTTTAACGGAATTTAGTAGAGGAAGTAAGAAGGAAAAAAAAAAACAACCCTGCATTCTTTTGCATGACCTGTATGGCATGTGAATTAGGCTTCCCCAGTATGAGAAACCTTCCTTTTGCTGATTGCCCAAGGCTGTGGGTACATTAGTTTTCCTTTGTATGCAAGTTTTACAGAAACAAAACCTATGCTTTGCAACCTTGGCTTCCTATCACTGATCCAGCGATAAGCCAAGCAGTTAAGGCACTGTGCATTTACCTCTTTTTTGTCTCTGAAGACATCAATCTCCTTTTTGAGCAGTTCGACTCTTTGGAAAGCTTCGAGGCTGGTCACAGCATACACGAGAACGAAGCCATCAGCAACAGAGAAATAGTGTTTTGGCAATTCCACACCCTCCTGCAGACCCCTGGTGTCGTAAAGCCGTAACTGTTCCTTCACGCCTCGGTCTGTCTCCACCGATGCCAAATACACATCTTCCATTGTGGCACCCTCTTCTAAGCCTGTTGTTTTAAAATAAGTGGGAAAGTTCAACTGGTGTAAGTGCAGCACCACTATAAGAATTTTTTGCAGTACAGCAGAATGTTACCCCACAATAGCTTTCCGTGGATGTTTTCCAGCGTGACTTGACCTGGACTTGACCTTTGCTGACATCCCCATGCAGGGCTGTATTCATAGATCACTGCACCAGCTATTTACAATAGTGACATTGCGTAAATACAACCATCTAATATATGAGCACATGACTATGCCTGTAAAATTAATCTATACAACACGCACATTCAGGATAGGATAAGATAGACTGCTCTTCCCCCAGGTTTCGCAAACACCAACCGCCCAGTGTAGTAGCTCTGTGCCAAACATGCTGCAAACAGGCCTGCCCAAACATACCCTTTTAGAAGAACAGGCAAGGAACACCAGATAGTCAAGTACTAACATCTCGAGCCTACTTCTTTGCTTCGTATTGAACTTGATCATACAGCAGAAGCAGGAGCCAAAGGAATAATTCTGGAAATGAATGTGTATTGGTGGTACAACTAACCAATAAGTGAAATCAAACCAGAAAGGGAAGGGGATGTTTGCATGCAAGCAAAATTGTATGCTGTGTGTACTCAAATACACAGTGTGCTTTTTCCATCCCTTAGGGATTTAAAATGACTCAGATTTGCTAATAGGAGCAAGCTAATTTACTGCAAGGTAAGAGCATGCACAAGGTAACAAGCTTTCATATATATATCACCTGCTCCATAGTAACTATCTGTATACTGGCTCTCCTTCCTTCCTCTCCTCATGGTAAATGTGCAGTAATTCAAGGCAGCTTACTTTGAACTAATTAAAATTATATTTTCCAAACCCAAAACCACATAGATCACCTTAGCTTTATGTTCCCCCTGGATGCAGGTGCATAAGGTTACAAATCCCAACAAACTATGTATAGTGAAGCTGGGCCACTTTCAGAGTCGGTTTTAAGTATTCGTATAAACCCTCTGCAATCCACATTTTTGCCTCCACTGCACTCCTATATACATGAATTGTTTGCCGTTGTAGGGCTACAATAATGAGTCCTGTATTATTCTCTTTGTCTGCCAAAAAGGGACCATATTATAGCATTGTTTAAGAAAACACAAGGGATTATCTGGCTTGTGAAAATAAGGATTTTGCTATATTCAATGACACTATTCAAAATACTTCACAAACAAGCTAAAGCATTCCACCCACGCTGATGGTTTCCCATGATGTATGCAGCATTCCTGTGCAGGAAAGTGGCACAAGCTGTTCTTTTTGCCCCTCTCTGTGCAGTCTTCATAGATCAAACTCTTATTAGGTTTGCAGCAAATTAATTTATCTCACCTCCAAATATAGCCATGCTAACGTGCAGGAGCAAAACTAAGAGCAGAAGGACAAAACAAAGGTTAATAAAAAGACAAAGCACAAACACATTCCATGTGGTTGGAGGATGTGTTACAAGGGCATTTTTAAAGACTGAAGTAGATAACAGAGCCCTTTCTGGATATAGCACTGTATTTTTTTCTTGCTCTGCCTCCTTGCATTGTACAGACCAGTCAAGGAAATATCTAGCATCAGTAAATACTACTTTGGCAAGAAGGAATGAACCCTAAGTACCTAGGTTTTCTTTCTTGAAAGCAATTCATGATGTTGTACATGTTTTTACCATCTAAATGCTGCACTGTAATTCAACAGTCTTTAATATATCCACATTCTCCTGTGACAATCTCTTCCTAATGGCATGAAAAGTAGCAGTGAAAATTATGTCTTTTAAGATGGTACTTGAAAATGAGGAGGAAAAATTAAGACCTGGGACTTAAATCAACACAATAGAGCAACAAATTTTCATGTGAAATGGGGGAGCGCTTTGGAGGCAGCTGGAATTTATGCATCAATATCAGATTCAAGAAGTGAAATTTCATCTACATACATTGGAGGAGGGAGTATATGCAAGTAGATTCCTAAGCAAACACAGATAATTTTAGACATACCTCTGTCACCTTATGCTAGGCTCTGCTTCTGAAGTCCAGACCACATGCTAGCCACATCTTGCTGACAATGATATTTACACTTCTTGTTAGTACTGTCCCACTCAAACACTTTCCCTGTCTCCATTCAAACACATGCTGGGCAAGTTGTTATATGAGCAGCAAAACTAGTCAGGAAAGCCCAGTGCCCTGGGAAGGTGTCTGGCACCATCCCACCCTCCCTGTCACAAGGACCCAGGTTCTCCTTTCCTTCACTGGCATCCCCAGGCACCCTCCCACCTCTGCTAACTGGGTGAGCAAGGGCAGCTTGTGCTGGGGAGTTACTGCCCCGCAGACTGCTGCCAGCTCGAGGAGGTTTTCCTTGGAGGGGAGCATTATCGTGGGCCTTTTCTCTCTTTCCTGCTACCGGTTTTTCTAAATTTACAGAAACATATTTTGTGACATCTACTGCTGTGACACAGATGAACAAACAGATGGAACTAGCTTTCAGGTTCAGAAGCTATGGGGGGAAAGGGGAACTAACAAGACAGTTAACAATCTCGTGGTTTCTTTGGAAGCTAAAGACAAAAAAAAGTTAGGGAGGGAAAGGAGGACCAGACAGGAGATTGATGCCGTTCTCTAGTGCGCACTTAGCTGGTGCAAGTCTTGGGAGAGGCAGAGAGGTCTTCATCTGCGTCACCGACTGCTGCCACAGAGGAACTGCAAGGGGAAGCCTCAGTCATAAATTAGGTGGTGTTTCAACCCCTGGTGGTTTCCCAATGAGGAAAAGAAAAGGGTGAATATACTAATGATTACTGCACACTCAGGCTAGGCAAGGCAGAGATATTGCAAATACCAAAATAAAGGAAAATTTCAAGGTGGGTGGAATTTCAGAAGTTCCTAAGTGACCCTTGAACATAAATGCAGTGCAAATTTTGTGTCTTCTTGAGCATTTTTGAAGATCTCGTATGTAATCTCTCCTTCCCTCTTTCCAGCA